CCCCGGGCGGGGCCACCGGCCCCCCGCCGAGCCTGCGGGCCACCCTGCGGGGGGCCACCGAGGCCCTGAGCCACGCCACCAACTTCCTCAACATGCTCTTCCAGACCAACGACATCCGGGAGTCGAGCGTCAAGGAGGACACGGAGTGGTACCACGCCCTGGTGCGGAGCCTGGTGGAAGGGGATCCCCAAGTCTACCGGGCCGTGCTGACCTTCCACGCCCACCCAGCCTCTGCCAAGCCCCAGCTGGTGCTCCAGGCCTCCAAGGAGAACAACGAGATCTTGCTGCAGGAGCTGTCGGCCGAAGGCCCACGCAACGGGAGTGGGGAGGGCCAGGGGTTCCCCGGCCCGCTGGCCCCGCCGGGCCTCTCCCTGCGCAAGCGAGTCCTTGTCAACGACCTCAAGAGCCTGCACACGCCCAAGTGGCACCGGGGCGACAGCTACGTGATGGACGCCAGCCACGTCCGGTGGTCGCCGCCCTTCCTGGAGTGCCAGGACAGCAAGTTCCTGCCCAGCTGGATGGTGGCCCTCTCCTCCGCCTTCTATGGGCTGAAGCCGGACCTGAGCCCTGAGTTCAAGTGAGCAGGGGCGGGGCCTGGGAGAGGCAGGGGGCGGGGCTGGGGTGGGAGTTGTGGGGGATGGGGGGTGTGCAGGGGAGGCAGGGATCCCCTGATCTAACATACCCCACTGTGGGGTGCAGAGCTAGGGATCCCCTGATCTAACATACCCCACTGTGGGGTGCAGAGCTAGGGATCCCCTGATCTAACATACCCCACTGTGGGGTGCAGAGCTAGGGATCCCCTGATCTAACATACCCCACTGTGGGGTGCAGAGCTAGGGATCCCCTGATCTAACATACCCCACTGTGGGGTGCAGAGCTAGGGATCCCCTGATCTAACATACCCCACTGTGGGGTGCAGAGCTAGGGATCCCCTGATCTAACATACCCCACTGTGGGGTGCAGAGCTAGGGATCCCCTGATCTAACATACCCCACTGTGGGGTGCAGAGCTAGGGATCCCCTGATCTAACATACCCCACTGTGGGGTGCAGAGCTAGGGATCCCCTGATCTAACATACCCCACTGTGGGGTGCAGAGCTAGGGATCCCCTGATCTAACATACCCCACTGTGGGGTGCAGAGCTAGGGATCCCCTGATCTAACATACCCCACTGTGGGGTGCAGAGCTAGGGATCCCCTGATCTAACATACCCCACTGTGGGGTGCAGAGCTAGGGATCCCCTGATCTAACATACCCCACTGTGGGGTGCAGAGCTAGGGATCCCCTGATCTAACATACCCCACTGTGGGGTGCAGAGCTAGGGATCCCCTGATCTAACATACCCCACTGTGGGGTGCGGAGCTGGGAATCCCCTGATCTAACATACCCCGCCGAGGGGTGCGGAGCTGGGGGATTCCCCCACCTAACACACCCTTGGGATCTGCACTGACAGGGTTCCCCCATCTCCCCCACTCAGAGGCGTGGAGCTGCAGGAATTTCCCCACCCCGCCTACGCCATGGCACAGCGCTGCCAAGGGGCCCGTCAGCCCTGGGGGTGGTGCTCTGGGGCTCCCCTCTCACCCCTCGGAGTGCAGACCGGCCGGGTGCCTTGCATACGCCCCTCGGGGTCTCCCCCACGTCCTTCCTCCCCCTTGCCGGGTTTGCCAGCACCGGGGGCGGGGCTGGGAGACGGGCTGGGCGCTGGCCGACCTGCCCCCAGGTGTTCGGGGGGGAGGGGGAACCGCAGCAGACTGGGAAGCTCTGGCCTGGTCATAGCTCGAGTGGTTACTACACCGGGGGGGGGGCGGGGGA